CTGTCCTGCCAGTGTGTTCCTGCCCCTGGACCTGCCAACGAACATTTCCAGTGAAAGCTGGGCAGCAAACACATGCGATTGGCGTCAGGAAGAAACTGCGACGCCAGGGTCGCAGAGCAATGCGAAATGACGATTAGGAGCAGGGTTGGGCGAACTGATCAGAACCACCATCTGCCGCTGAAAAAAGCTTTGGGGAGGACGAACAGACATCCCCAGTGACGACGACAACGCCCGCGAGCAGGGCCGGAGCTCATCGCATCTACTGTAGCCATGGGCACTGCTGCGTGACAACCCCCCCTCCCCACAGAGCAGCTCTTAGCCGCCATCCTGCACTTCCGTGCGCCCCGATCCCCCCCACCCACACACAGAACTGTGTTTCACTGTCCTGGGGCCCAAACGGCCTCCATGAAACAAGACTCGATCCCCAAATCTCCTAATCGACATCTTCTCCAAGAACCGCGAACCGCCCCGTCTCCGCTTCGCCCCCCTCAAGGGCGGGGCGAGGGGGAGGGGGAAGACAAGTAGCAACAACAGCCGAGAAGACGGAGGAGAAGAGGGAAGAAGAGAAGGAAGAGGAGGACGAAGAAGGATGAGGAGAGAGAGGGAGGAGGGAGGAGGAGAAGGAAGGAAGAGAACGAGGAAGGGAAGATGAAGGAAGGGGGAGGGGAAGGAGGAGGAGGAGGAGGAGGAGGAGGAAAGGGGAAGGAGGAGGAGGAGGGGCAGGAGGGGAACGAGGAAAAAGGGAGAAGGTAAAGAGGGGGAGGGATGGCGACGAGGAGGAAGGGAGAAGAAGGAGGTAGGGACGGCGGGAAAGACGAGGCATCAGCCAGCTGCGACCACCTCCCCGAGGGGGAGAGCTTGCAGAGAAGGAGGAGGAGGAGAAGCAGAGGAGGGAGAGGAGAGGAGGAGAAGGAGGAGGGAGGAGGAGGAATGAGAGTAGGAGGACGAAGAGAAGGACGAAAAGACCTATTCCGCCTCCCTACGCCCTCTTTCTTCCCTCCTCCTTCCCCCTCTTCCTTCCTCCCCCTTCCCCCTCCCCCACCTCCCCCTCCACCTCTTCCCTCCTCCTCGCCCTCCTCCTCCTCCTTCTCCTCCTCCTCTTTCCTCCTCCTCCTCATCGTCTCGGTCCCCCCCCCACCCCCCCCCCCCCCCCCCCCCCCCCCCCCCGCCCACCCCATCATCATATCATCATCATCAAATCATCATCATCATCCATCATCATATCATCATCATCATCATCATCATCATCATCGCATCATCAGCATCATCATCATCATCATCATCATCATCATCATCATCGTCATCGTCATCGTCATCATCATCATCATCATCATCATCATCAGCATCATCATTCTCATCATCATCATCATCATCATCATCATCATCACCATCATCATAATCATCGTCATCATCATCATGATCATCATCAGCAGCATCATCATCATCATCATCATGGTCATCACCATCATCATCATCAGCAGCAGCATCAACAGCATCATCAGCAGCAGCATCATAATCATCATCACCACCACCATCATCATCATCATCACCATCATCATCATTATCATCATCATCATCATCATCATCATCATCATCATCATCGTCATCATCATCATGATCAATATCATCATCAGCACCAGCAGCATCATCATCAGCGTCATCGTCATCGTCATCATCATCATCGTCCTCGTCAGCCTCCTCATCATCATCATCAACATCATCATCATCAGCATCATCATAATCATCATCAGCAGCAGCATCACCATCGTCATCATCATCAGCATCATCAGCATCATCAGCATCATCATCGTCATCATCATCGTCCTCATCAGCCTCCTCCTCATCATCAACATCATCATTTTCAGCAGCATCAGCATCATCATCATCATCATCATCATCATCATCATCATCACCATCGTCATCATCATCATCATCACCACCATCATCATCAGCATCATCATCATCCGTATCTTCATCATCAACATCATCAGCATCGTCATCATCATCATGAGCAGCAGCGTCATCGTCATTATCAGCATCGGCATCAGCAGTATCATCAGCAGCAGTATCACTAGCATCATCATCGTCATCATCATCATGATCAATATCATCATCCTCACCACCATCGTCATCATCATCGTCAACGTCATCGTCATCATCATCATCATCATCATCATCATCATCATCATCCGCTTCCTCCCTCTCTCCTCCATGCTCTTTCCTTGTAGCTAACTCCTCCGTGTCGCGCCCCGAGGCTGGTCGAAAGGGTGGGCCGGGCGTTTCGCCTGAGACTCCCTTTCCATCTCTGATCCTGACGCTGAGAAATTCTTAACTTTTTCACAGATCGAGGGCGGGTGGTTTTCAAGGCGTGGCTCTCGCCTTAGCGCCGCGCAGACTCGTCTGAACGATTTGAAAAAAAACACGGATCGAGGGCGGGTGGTTTTCAAAATGTGGTTCTCGCCTGAGCGCCGCGCGCACTCGTCTAAAAAATTAGCCTGGCGAAGGACCCAACCATATGCAGTTGAGAGTACCGCAATTGTGAATATCTTCTTCGGTGGCGCTCCCTATGGGGCCACGAGCCGTATGAGGGGTGTGCCGAAATGCGTGGCAGTGTACACAACACGAACGAAGACGATAGGTCCGAATATGCAAGCTTGAGCGCGTGCGAGTCGGATCGCGAGCGAGTCTGATTATGAATGAATCTGCGCGCGATTGATTCTATTCGCATGAATGCGTGCATGGATACGCCCAGTGTAAATGTATGTATACGACTGTGAACAGTTTGGGTCTGCGTGACTCTCGGTACTCGTGACTCTGAGCGTCGCCTCTGCAGGGGGCTTCCCTGGGAACCCCGACGGCAGCGCCCGCGCGCCGCGACGCCCATGTCGGCACGCCACACACCTGGTGTGCGGGACGCATGCGGACGGCAGCACTGGGGCCTTCGGTGGAGCTCCCTGTGGGGCCACGAAACGTGTGAGGGGTGTGCCGAAATGGGTGTGCGGGACGCATGCGGACGGCAGCACTGGGGCCTTCGGTGGAGCTCCCTATGGGGCCACGAAACGTGTGAGGGGTGTGCCGAAATGGGTGTGCGGGACGCATGCGGACGGCAGCGATGGGGCCTTCGGTGGAGCTCCCTGTGGGGCCACGAAACGTGTGAGGGGTGTGCCGAAATGGGTGTGCGGGACGCATGCGGACGGCAGCCATGGGGCCTTCGGTGGAGCTCCCTATGGGGCCACGAAACGTGTGAGGGGTGTGCCGAAATGGGTGTGCGGGACGCATGCGGACGGCAGCACTGGGGCCTTCGGTGGAGCTCCCTGTGGGGCCACGAAACGTGTGAGGGGTGTGCCGAAATGGGTGTGCGGGACGCATGCGGACGGCAGCCATGGGGCCTTCGGTGGAGCTCCCTATGGGGCCACGAAACGTGTGAGGGGTGTGCCGAAATGGGTGGTGGGGAGGCATGCGAACGCAGGCACTGGGGCCTTCGGTGGAGCTCCCTATGGGGCCACGAAACGTGTGAGGGGTGTGCCGAAATGGGCGTGCGGGACGCATGCGGACGGCAGCCATGGGGCCTTCGGTGGAGCTCCCTATGGGGCCACGAAACGTGTGAGGGGTGTGCCGAAATGGGTGTGCGGGACGCATGCGGACGGCAGCACTGGGGCCTTCGGTGGAGCTCCCTGTGGGGCCACGAAACGTGTGCGGGGTGTGCCGAAATGGGTGTGCGGGACGCATGCTGACGGCAGCCATGGGGCCTTCGGTGGGAGCCTCCCTTCATGGGCGCACGAAAACGTGGGTGTGGGGGTGGTGCCGAAATGGGGTGGTGGCGGACGCATGGCGGACGGCAGCACTGGGGCCTTCGGTGGAGCTCCCTGTGGGGCCACGAAACGTGTGAGGGGTGTGCGAAAATGGGTGTGTCGGGACGCATGCGGGACGGCAGCCTGTGGCCTTCGGTGGAAGCTCCCTATGGGCCACGAAAACGTGGGTGAGGGGTGTGCCGAAATGGGTGTGCGGGACGCATGCGGCGGCAGCACTGGGTCTTCCGTTGGAGCTCCCTGTGGGGCCACGGAATCGTGGTGAGTGGTGTGCCGACTGGTGTTGCGGGACCGCATGCGGGACGGCAGCCATGGGGCCTCGGTAGCTTCAAAAAAGAAAACCTATGGGGCCTCGAAACGTGTGAGGGGTGTGCCGAAATGGGTGTGCGGGACGCATGCGGGCACACCCACTGGGACCTTCGGTGGAGCTCCCTATGGGGCCACGAAACGTGTGAGGGGTGTGCCGAAATGGGGGTGCGGGACGCATGCGGGCACACCCACTGGGACCTTCGGCGGAGCTCCCTATGGGGCCACGAAACGTGTGAGGGGTGTGCCGAAATGGGTGTGCGGGACGCATGCGGACGGCACCAATGGGGCCTTCGGTGGAGCTCCCTGTGGGGCCACGAAACGTGTGAGGGGTGTGCCGAAATGGGTGTGCGGGACGCATGCGGACGGCAGCCATGGGGCCTTCGGTGGAGCTCCCTATGGGGCCACGAAACGTGTGAGGGGTGTGCCGAAATGGGTGTGCGGGACGCATGCGGACGGCAGAGGAGAGGAGAGAGGAGAGCAGAGGAGGAGACGCGGGCCACCGTCTCTTCAAAACGAGGACCCAACACCACAGGATGGTTGGGAATAAGCATACACTCGTAAGACGAAGATGAATGACTATAATACCAGCACTACTGCTGATACTTAACGACTGATGATACTAGTATAAAATAACACAAATCAGACGGCTGCTGGTCATGAAAGAATAGCACTAATAACCAGACTGCTACGAATAATAAGAAGAAGCATAATAAGAAAGCGAAGGATAATGTTGATCAGAGGGAAAGAACTAATAAGTATAAACTAATCAAAATATGGATACGACCGATGATAATGATAATAATAATAACAATAAAAAATCAGAATAATAATAATAATAATAATGAGAAGAAGAAGGAGAAGAGAAGACACGACAAGAGAGACGACGGAGCGAGGGATTCGCAAGAAAGGACAGGACGGGGCCGACAGTCAGAGCCCGGAGGCCCTGCAGCCTCCTCCCGCCGCGCCCACACGCCCTCGCACACGGCAGCAGAGGGGAGGACGCTATGGGGAGGACGATGTGGAACTCGCGGCCCTCGGCGCTGCCTGGGGAAGCCATAAGGCACCGACGCTGCAACTCCCTGGGCCTCTCCTGAGGTGCGCTCTGGCTCCCGGCTTTCGAGGCCAATCCCACCGTGGCGACGAGGGCCTCCCAGGAAAAGCCCAGAGGAGGGGGAGACGAGGGAAGGACAACGGTAGCCGCACCTTTCCCACCACCGAACTACAACGACAACTTGCAGGACAGCCGGTGGTGCGAGGGCGCGCTCGGCGGCCGCTGCGCCTGGGCCGCCCGGGCGCTGCCGCCGCTGGGCGGCTGCTCCTGGCCCTGCTCCGCCGCCTCCCGGCTCCAGCACGGCTCCTTGCCGGCGCCCGCGCGGTCCGCCCACGCCAGCAGAATGCTGCTGGTGACCACGCAGAACCTCCTCTCCCGCATGATGCAGCTGCGGACGTTCCGCTCCGAGTACCTGCGCGCGGCCGCGCTGCCCTGCCGGGCCCTGCGCGCGGCCGCGCTGCCCCGCCGAGCCCTCTCGGCCTCCGCCAGGTCCTTCAGCTCGAGGGCGGGCCACTTCTCGTGCAAGAGCCACCGGGCGTGCGGGCTGTCCGAGCCGGCGTGGGCCCTGACGAAGGCGGTGTCGTCGCTGCTGGTGCTGTCCGCCGGGCCACTGCTGCGCGTCTCCGGCCAGGCTGCTGCTGCAGCGGCCAGGGCGGCGCCGAAACTGGCCGCGCCGCCCGCCGAGCAGGCCGCTTGCCGCGGGTCGCCCAGCGCGGCGGCCTGCATCGGCGAGGCGCTGGGCGAGGGGCTTTGACGCAGAGGCCGCCGCGGGATCGCCAGGCCGCAGGTGAGTTGAGCTAAGATGGCTTGAGCCAATATGCTAGGCGGGAACGGGGAGGAAAAGCTGCACGAAGATTCAAGAAGAATGAACATCGGCAAGAGCACGAACTCCGGGAAGCCCGCGCGGATATGTTGGCTTGGCGCTGGACCCCCTTCTCTCGGAGAGAAATAGAGAAAGGAAGGGAGACATCAGCAACCGCGAAAACATCCTGCACCTTTCACCAATTAGGTGTTGCCTAAGGGGTTCTTTGGGGTTCCTTGGTCTTGGTTAATTGGTGCTTTGGACCTGGTTACTTGCTGCCTTCCACGGATTCCTTCTGCGATGCCAAACAATGGCACTCACTGCCAAGCAATGCCACGCAATGCCAGGCAATGCTAAGCAACGCCAAACAACGCCACGCAACACCAAGCAATGCCACGGAATTACCCCCCCGCAATGTGACTATGCAATGCCATGCAATGCTAAGCCATGCGAAATCGTTCCCAACGATGCCAATCAATGCCAAACAACGGGCAACCAATGCCCAACATGTGCATGCAATGTAAACAACACGCCCATGCAATTCGAACATTTCGCCTAATTGGGGTCGCACCAAATTAATATGTTTGCTCTTCTTGTGAACCGTGAGCCTATTTGCTTGGCCCCTGTGGTATACCAGGCGCTCATTCACCAACCCACACATGTGTGCCCTCTGTTAGGGCTTGAGTAACGGCCTGAACTAGTGAGCAACACCTGAGCCCGAAATTCAACAGAACACCGACCCTGTCGTAACGGCGGCAGGTGCCTTACAGTGAGTGCGAGTAAGACGGAAGCGAGGACAACCGATCTAGAGGAGAAACAAAAACCATTTGTTTGACACGGCACTCGAATGAGAAAACGTCAAAATAAGATCGCACGTCCTCACACCCGGCAATGATTATACCCTCCTCCTTCGAGTTATCACCCGTCCGAGTTGCACAATACGGACCCCATCACCCACATACCCATGAGAACGAGTACGCTTCCCCGCCCTGGCGCGCTACGCGCGCCAGAGGTGGCACCAGAGGCGTCGCAAAAGGGACCCAGCGCCGAGCCGAGAAATCCGCGCGGACCTCTGTTTGTGCACAGCGCCGCCCTGGAGTGGACGGGGCCCCCTCCGCCGCATGCCCTCCTCGTCCTCGTCCTCGGCGGCGCCCTCTTGCTCGTTTGCCGTCCTCGATCCCGGCCCTCCTCCTCCTCCTCCTCCGCCTCCTCCACCTCCGCCGCCTCCTCCTCCACCTCCTCCTCCACCGCCTCCTCCTCCGCCTCCTCCTCATCATCCTCCTCCGCCTCCTCCTCCTCCCCCTCCTCCTCCGCCTCCTCCTCCTCCTCTTCCTCCCCCCTCTCCTCCTCCTCCTCCTCCTCCTCCTCCTCCTTCGCTCCTCCTCCTCCTCTCCTCCTCCTCCTCCTTCCTCCTCTCCCTCCTCCTCCTCCTCCTCCTCCTCCTCCTCCTCCTCCTCCTCTCCTCCTCCTCCTCCTCCTCCTTTCCTTCCTCCTCCTCGTCTCCTCCTCCTCCTCATCCTCCTCCTCCTCCTCCTCTCCTCCTCCTCCTCCTCCTCCTCCTCCTCCTCCTCCTCCTCGCAAGAACTTTCGGAGATCCTCACGGATTTCCTTGGGTCGGCCCGGGGCCTCGCACGCCAGGGACGGGGGCTCAACGCCCATCCAAAAGATCCGCGCGGACCTCCTAGGATCCGCCGACCCCAGAGGCGTGTGAGGTAAAGGGCGAAACCCCCCCCCCCGCCCCCACCACGCCCCCACCACGCCTGAAACCCCCAGCCTCCTGAACCCTCTGTGTGTCACCCCCCATCGCGTCTGACATCCCCGGTCACCTGGACCTCCTGGGCATGCTGTTTTAGAGAACCCCCTACCCTGCAAAAACTCGCGCTGGTTCCCCCCGCCGCGTCCGACATCCCCGGCCACCTCCACCCCCTGGGCGTTCTGTTAAGGTCCCCATCACCCTGCAAAAACTCGCGTTGGCACCCTCCACCGCGTCTGACATCCCTGGTCACCTGGACCTCCTGGGCATGCTGTTTTAGAGAACCCCCATACCATGCAAAAACTCGCGCCGGCACCCCCCACCGCTTCTGACATCCCCAGCCACCTCACCTGGACCTCCTGGGCGTGGTGTTTTAGAACCCCCCCACCCTGCAAAAGCCCGCGCTGGCGCCCCCCATCGCGTCTGACATCCCCAACCACCTGGACCTCCTGAGGCGTGGGGTTTTAGAGCCATGCAAAGACTCGCGTCGGCACCCACCGCCGCGTCTGACATCCCCAGTCACATGGACCTCCTGGGCCTGGGGTTTAGAGCCCCCCAACCCTGCAAAAACTCGCGTTGGCACCCCCACCGCGTCTGACATCCTGCAGATGGCTTCGAGCGTGGGGCCCCCGCCCCACCTTTCCTCACCCGAGGCAAGCCAAAATGCTACAGCACAGACTCAACACGCACGGTCCACATCTAGGCCCAGCTGGGCCTCCAGTGCTCATCTAGAGGGGCCCGCTAGGGCCGCATGTGTCTACACAGTCACTACGGTTAGCACTGATCAAAAACAAAATCGTGCGTCATTGAAGCTGGTGACCCTGACGGCCTCGGAAATCCTCTAACGTCTCATCCCTACTCGGCTCACGTGGCTAGCGGCCTGGCCGCCGCGGGCCGACCTATGCCCCGGCCTCTCCAACCTCGCTCTGCATATCCAGGCTCTCTTCCCCTTCTGGCACGGTCTCGAGGAGCAGGTCCGCCGGTGTCCTGACCTCCTTGATCATCGTCTTGATGAACTTCAGCCGCTGGTCCACGACTTCTTGGAGCTCCTGGTTCCCCCTTTCGCGCAGGTTCTCGATGGCAGTCTTGAACTCCTGATTGTCCGGCAGCTTCGCAGAGATGACGCTCCGCGTCTCCGAATCGGACGCGCCTGCGTCCTCGCATCCGTGTGCCGGCGATATCTTGAGACTTGAGATCACGTCGCACATGCCGTCCGGCATCTGCGGCACTCTGTTCTTCAGGATAACTGCGCACGCTGCGTCCGACGAGCTTGTGGGCGTCAGCGTGATCTTCGTCTTGTTGTTGCGACTCTCGCACTCGCCGAGCGTGCAAAGGCTGGTCACCACCTTGTACGTCGTCCGTGTGTAACGGACTGGTTCCGCTCGTATGCTCTCGTAGAGGCTCCTTGTCTCGTCCACTGACAGCTCACTCTCGAACTTCAGCGTCGCGGCAGTGGCCCTTGGAATCGCTACTGGTGTTCGCTCTGCTGGATTCCTGCTTAGACCGAGCCGAAAGTAGCTGGCGACGGATCCGTTCCCGAGCTGCTGCTGCCATCACCGCTGGCTCATCTGCTAATTGATATTCTCCACTCGTCATCGTAGCTCTCATCATGTCGGCAGGTTCAGCCTTGTCCTTAGTTAGAATGTCAGCCAACTGCAGGGCCGATGGTACCCGCCGATAGCACAACCCAAGACGACGAACACTTTTTTTCGTAATCACTAAATCGGCAGCAACCAGCTTATCAGTACACGACCCCGCACTCCCACACCCCACGATATGATCACACAGCGACTTGCAATCGGTGACGGCGAAAGGGGTCAGGAGTGGAAGAAATTCTGCCCGGCGACGAAGACAGAATTCACTGTTACTCCCCTCTAATAGTAGACAAGATACCCACTCCAGATGCCCGAGACCGCCCATTGGTGCTTGAGTTTCTGCGGCTAGGGTCGACGACGTCACACGACGTAGACGATAACTCTTCCAGTCCCTTGGGCTCAGCTCGTTTTGTAGCATCCTCTCGACCGTGGCTGCAATGACGTATCCAGCCTGTGTCCCCGACTTCGATGCATTCGGATTGGACGCGTCAGCGTGCATGATGACTCTCAATCTATCAATGGGAATGGCCTTGATCTGCCACGCAAGGTTTGAGACCTCATTAGCTCGACGGACGAATGTGTTGCCGTGTCTCACATCACCGACGGTCGGTCTCGGCATACATTGTTGACTCATGGATACTTGCACTGCTAGATCAGGTCTGGATTCTCGAGCTAGCCAGTTCCCGCCCCAAGCATGGCCCTGAAATTCGCAATCTCCTTGTCGGTTGCCTGGGTCCCTGGGGAGGCTCGAGGTCTTACTCCTGCAGGTTTCATGCTTTCAGCGAAATCCTTCTGAGACACTGTGATTGCCTTGGTCCTGGGATCTTGACGGATGTTTGAACCACTGAACTTGCCCTCATTGATCTTCCACTTCGGAAGCGGAAGCTGAGACCTGAGGTACTTGAGAAAAGGCATCATACTTACTACCTTTTCCTCCAGTCAGGATATCGCCCACGCGCGTGGCGATGAGACCGCACAGCCTGCGGTCCTCGAAAAGGAAGAACATGCACGGGTCCAGCTTCGACGGTCTCCAACCTTCACTTTTACCAGTCGGTAGCCAGTCAAGGATCGTATTCTTGAGCTTTCCCCACCATTGCGCTGGGGCATCATTGAAGCCGTAGATCGGCCTGGTCACCTTTAGCAGCTGGTCTGGGTGCATCCGAGGCAGACCACCTCGAGGTTGTCGCAGATAGAGGTCACCACCTTCGCGCTGGATCGGGTCGGCCTCCAGGAACGCACCCTCCACGTCGCCGATCTGGACCTGGAAGCCGTGGGGCGCCAGCAACTGGTATGCCACCACCTTTCCGTTCTGAGATAACGTGGGAGAGGACGTCTTGTTCTCTCGCACCAGCGTCATCAGGTCGGGGTCTTGACTGCACAAGCGCGCCGTGACGATATCCGACTCAGTGTCGTCGATCTTGCTGGTCAAGATCATCCTGCTTCCCACAATCCGCTCCGGTGTGGTCCGTCGCACTTCGTCTGACTTCACGCTATCCAGTGGCTCGAGTGCCTGCTTCACCTCGATCAGATTCGTCATCTCCTTCGTCACACCTGCCAGGATCTTCTTCTCACCCTCCGTGCTCAGCCACTTCGGGTCCTTCCGATTTATTCCCCGACGACCTCCAGCCCGTAGAGCGTCCGCAAGTTCTTCCTACGGCTCTGGATTCACGCA